CTCTTTGCATCATTAGCAGTTACTAACCAGAGTTACTGACCAGGAACTCTAGCAATCATTGTCTTGGAAAAGAACAACAACAAAAGCAACACATAACGCCTGTTCAATGCACCTGGAATACTCCAGCATTCTGTGTGCCAGGCCTGAGAAAGCCAAGCAGATGGGAGAGGAAGGAAGAAGTCAAAGGTGAACAGCAGCCTTTCTACAACAATAACAGCCACGGCTCAGATGCCCCCTGCAGAGTACGAGGTTGGGAAGGGTAGAAGAGGGTGGATACAGTGTCAGCTTACCAAAGCCCAGGCCACGCCAACAGACTTGTATCAGTCAGGGTTTACTAGAGGAACAGATATAATACAAGATAAACAAACGTACAAGAGATTACAAATTTGGCTTACAATGGTCAGCTACAGAGTTGGATGAGGAAGCATGCAGAGGGTGTCTGCACACTGGAGATTGAAGAGCCCAGCCCCGGGCCTGGAGCTCGCTGCAGTGTCCGTGCAAGTCCACATTGAAAGGCTGATGGGTCTGCGACGGAATGCTGAAGAATCTACATGAAGGCCGGAGAGCCAACACCAGAAGGCTGAAGAGTCCAGACGGAAGCCCAGCAGTCTGCACCAGAAGCCAGGAGACCACCAAGCTGAAGGCGAAGACTAGAGCTCCTTCGAAGAATCAGCAGCCAGTCCTTCCTCAGTTCCTTTTGTTATGCAGTCTACCTGCTCTGGGGAGGTGGGGGTGGTCCTCTACACCCACACCCTCTGCATGCCTGCCTCTTGCACAGGCTCAGGATGAATACAAAGTAAGCACCCTGGCTCCCTTCTGAGTCACATGGTTAACCTTCTAAACTTCTCAAATTAGCACAATAAACAACATCCCAGAAGGGTAAGGGCGTGTCCTTTTCACCCCAAGAGGCGGAACTGCTGAGTTATTTAGCCAAACCTCTAGATTCCCCAAGTTGGCACAATGTATCAACCATAACAAGGCTCTACAACCATCCACACACAACAGAAAAGTGCTTGATCTGTTTTCTGGACTAAATAGGGCTTGGGGCTTAGCCCAGGCAGGAAAACACTGGGAGGACTTATTTTATTTAGAACTCAGAGCTGAAATCCCATTGAACAAGCAGAACACAGCCTCAGAGCAAAAGCATTGCTCCTTCCAACCCAGGGAGACTGGCCCAGGCTGCCTGAGGCTTGACATCCGAGAGTGCTTCACCGTGTGCAGAACAACAGCGTCACACCTGCAGGTCACAGCTACAGCCAATGGTATGATGTCCAGTAGACTCTGCCAGCCCCCACCTGAGTGAGACCCCTGTCCGCACTCTAAGGAGTGGACAGTGAGGACTTCTTTGTGAGTGACGCAAACACCAGAGACCGAAAAGAAAGAGTGAAAAAGGACAAAGGAGCTACACATGCGATGGACACAAAAGACTTTCGCCATCACTGTTTATAAATGGCAAAATCCACGGAAATCAGTAGCAAAGCCAGTGAGTCAGCTGGTACTGCAAAGTTGCAAGACTTAGCTAAAACGCACAGGTAAAGAGTGAAGAGAAAGAGACGAGAACAGACATCCCATTCACAGTACCAATAAAGAACATTCAGTATTTGAGAATCATCATGGAGGGAGCCACATCAGACACAGCTGAAGAAAATTCTAGGACGCAGATCATCACAACAAGCGAAGCTTCCTGTCTCAAGATGTAAAGATGGCCGCGTCTTGAGGCTGATGGGAAGATTTCATGTTACCAAGAATCGGGGAATAATAAACTGAAGACTGCAAGTAAGTGTAGTTGAGATTTTTAAATGCAGGGGCAGAACAGACAGCAAGAGATAAAAGGTACCTTATGCTTCGTAACATTTAACTCCACGGCAATTCACAAATGGAATGCGACACTGAAGAGGGCTGCATGCAGCATGGTGCAGGCGGGAGGGTTAGAGCCCGCAGAGAAGAGCCAGGCCATCAAGAGCAAGGGCTGAGGGAGCGCCTGCTCCCACCAGGAACCCCAGTGCCACAGAGGGATAGAACCCCAGGATACCCAGCATTATGGTGCGGTAGCCCCCACCAGGGATGGTAAACACACTCCTGCATCGGCTTCAGCCAGGGTCACGGTGGCCGGATGCCACAGAGAGCTGACCCGGCTGGGCCTTTGGGCTGAGACAGTCCTGGTGGCTTGAACCTTCCAGGTCCTGCCATTTGGGCTGCAGCCTCTCTCTTGCTCACCTGCTGCCTTCCGGGGTCTGTTTTGGAGAGACCCAGCCAAGGTTCCTGGCTGATAGGGAACCGCAAAGTCACTCTGGGAGCGCACACGTCACTGCACCTTTACTGTCTTCCTCAGCCTGGCAAGATGACTCTGGCTCTTTCCACCAGGCCTGTTCTGAGAGATCATGTCCAGCTTTCTGCATTCCATGGATCCACTTCCCCATGAGGCGACTGCGGGCCACCACCCTGTCACCTGCTGCACCTTGGGGGACCTGGCCACGGTGCCTATGCTATTCCAGCCTGTGGAGCTCACCTCCCAGTGAGGTAGCCTCATTGCCCTGCGCCTCCACGCTGCCCCACCTGGCTGTTCCATGAACATAGTGCGAGACAGGGACGTGGCAAGATGGGCTATCGTAAGAGCATCAGGAGATCCAATTCATATCAGGAGATCCGATTCCCATGCCGTCAGCCATACTGTCCCTCAGTGTTCAGATTAGCGGCTCACAGGACAAGCACTGCACGGAGCAGCCATCCCCACTGTCTCATTCCAGAACTTTCCATCACTCCAAAGGAACCCACCCCCACAACGCAGTCGCTCCCTGGTCCCCAGCCCTCCGGACCCTCAGCGACCACTGATCCTGTTCTGTTCTGCCTCTGCATGCCTCAACATTTCACAGACGGGTGCTCCTGGGCTTTGCACGGGCTTGCCTTCTGATAAAGCCATGTGAGCTGAAAATATCATGTCGATGATGTGTTCAATGCAAGGGTTGACTGAAAAATACAGTGAATGTTTCACTTTTAAAATGATGAAGTAGATACACAAGGACTCTCCTCAAAACCCTCTCCCGACCTCAAGCACACACCCCGTTGTCCTAGCCGCTTTCCGAAGCAGTTCCGGATGTCCTCTTTCCTGAGTGTCTTTATGAGGTGTGATAAAAACCGTGAATGCTACTGCTGCCAAGTGCCGGCCAATGGAAAGGCAGCTTGCAAAACACCATGCTGCGTGTTCATCCACCTCACCCACTGGATCTCCCACCCTGTGACTTTTGGCTTCTCCCCAAAGTCAAAATGACCATAACAGGTAAATGTTTTGTGTGTTTTTTTAATGGGTAAATGTTTTGAATGGATTTAGGGCTTCAAGGCAGCCATAAGAGTGCAAATGAAGACATTCATGAAAGACTTCAGAGCTGCTGCAGAAAATGGCAAGAACGGGAGGATCAGTGTGTCCAAAGTAAGGAGAAGTATTTTGAGAGGACTCATGGCAACACGTCTTTTATTGTAATATATTATTAAAAACCCAAACACACACTGTCCTTTCCAGGCACACCTTGTCCGCCTAACTAGGGGTCACCACGGCTCAGCACCATGCACTCTCTCGTGTGTCCACCGTCCCTCTCTGGCCAAGGGGTTCACTGGGAAATGGGGGTGCTGCCACTGCCCCACATCCCGAGGGAGGTTCTGTGCACCCTTAGCCAGGGAAATGATCAACACTGAAATTCTCCTGAACCCACACCTCTTTCCCACCTGGAGAACTGGAAACACGGTTAAGACAAACCACCCCGAGGTGGGGCCATCTGAATGTGGAATCATAGATTACGCAGCCCTTTGTGCTGGATGCGTTAGCTTAGCATGTGTGTTCAAAGGACAGCCACGCTGCAGCAGGGGCTGGTGCGTGCTTTCTTTTTATTGGCAGCCAGTTCTCCAGGGACAAAGGACGCTGGGTTGTCTCCAACCTTTTGCCACTGTGAGTGAAGCTGCCGCTGCATCCTGCACACGTTTTTACACGCATGCATCTTTTTATATTTCTGATTACTGCACAGTGGTTTTCAAAGGCGACAGTACTGTAGGGTTAAGACAGACTCTGCCTTCCGGCAGCAGCTTATCTGGAGCAAGTCCAGCTTCCCAGTGGCCACGCTTCCTAGGAGGCAACTCTGCACAACCACGCCCACGCTGGACCCCGGGGGGATGACTTTGGGATCGGGTGAGGGATGTGAAAGCACTCCTCCGATTTGAAACGCGCCTTGTAAACAGGGTGCGCTGTCTCACCCAAAAGGCCCCTTGGCATGTTTTAAAGTCGAGGATGAGTTTCAGCGAACGCTGCTTCCTCAAGCTCTGGCCTGATGGAAGTTCTGGCAGCTGGGAGTTCTCACAAGCAAATTATTGATTACGGTGGAAGATGACCGGAAGCGTCCTCAGCAGCACACCAGCAGGGGCGCAGTGGGCACCGTGAAGAGGGGGGAGCTAAGTGTGGAATGTTCTTGCCCACAACAGTGGACACTCCAGCCTGAGACATACCGAACTTGCTAAAGGTTAAAGAGAAAGAGAGACGAGGCGGGCTGTGGAGAGTAGGAGAGAGTAGGAAGGAAGCAGAGCTCACCCCACGGAGATAGCCAGAGCCCATCACTTACGCGTTCGACATGGCTGGCTACTTCCCCTCTTCCCCTCGCCCGCCGGGAATCTCTTCCTTTGCCCCCCGAAAGGCTGGCCAACTGTGAAGGTGAGGCACCACCAGGGCGCCCAGGGGCTCAGGGGTTGCCGGTTCTTCGGAGGGGAAGACGGTGACCAGGGACAGCCTGTCACTCAGGGTAGGGAGAGGCGACTGCGGGGGCGCCTCACAGCCGGGCGCGAAGACACGAGAGGAGTTCGCTCGCTGGAGCGAAGCGGTAGGAGCCTCACTCTGGGGGCGCGAAGCGGCCCTAGCAACGGAACGCTGCGCCTGCGCAGTGCTACGGGGAGGGCAGCACTTCGGCCAGGCGCGCAGCGCGCCTGCGCACCTGCCCCTTGTTGCTGTGGCAACCGCTGGAAGGACGCGGAGCCGAGCTGAGAGCGCTTGGCAGGTGCGCGGCGTGGGTCCCTCAGCTTATGGGAATGGGGCGAGGGGCTCATTTCTCCGCCGCCCAGGTTCCCGGGTGCGCTCCCTGCTGCCTGGTCTGCAGCACCCTAAGCTCTGCTAGTGTTTCTTCATCGTTAGCGGTGTTGAGATTTATTTGCAAACCTCAGGATCTGCAAACCTTTAGTTCCGCAGGAACTAAACAGTGGGGAGGGTGGAGAGACATCGCATAACAATGATAGACTCCGTGGGGAGCACAGACTCGCTCCCCCCATTACTGATGAAGTGAGCAAAAGAGGACTGGAAACCAGCGCACACCCAATCCTGGAGGAAGCCAAGGAGAAATCCCGAGTAGTCTCCCACTACAAACTTGAAACACTGTACCCAGTGAAACAGCTGCGGTGGAGAACGGCATCGAAGCTCAGCCCCGCGCCCCGGGAGCCGACTGGGGAAGAAAACAATCCCGAATAGAAAGCTGACTCTACCACCTACAGGACCCCAGGAGAGCTGGGCAGGTGGCTGGGGCTGATCATTTTCTAGGAGCCTGTATGACATTAAGCACAATTCAAAGTCAAAGGACACTTTGTCGGATACTGTCCTGACAAGCATTGGTGGCAAAAGAGTTTGCCTGAAACTCGATCTCAGAGAGAAGGCAGAGTGCTGGCCTTGCACAGACTGAGGGAGGCCGGGCTCGTGCTCACTGAGTGCCCAGGCTGTGGAAGAGTGGGTGACAGCTGCAGCTGTGGAACTCACTCAGCGGGAAGAGGGTCAGAGAGAAATCTGCCACTGTATACTTGAACAAACAGAAATTCATCAACAGCAACGCATGCTAAATATGAGTAAGGTAAGGATATGAGTAAACAGCATACCCCAATCCAAGACAGTAGCAAAAATGGAAGAAAAAGGAGGGATGGGCAAAGCGTGTGAAGAATCAAGGAAATACAAGAAAAAATTCTTTACATGTGTTTCATGTGATAGGATAAACTGATCAGAACATCCGCTTAATAAAACAAGAATCACAGGCCATAGCACAACAAAATGAGAAGGGAAAAAAGATGACACAGCTAAGGAAGTCGAATGAAAATCAGAAATAGTCCAATATAGAAAATTAGAAGATCTGAGAACTAGGTCTGGTACCACTCAGCTGAGTTACTGACTTGGAGGACAGCCTTGACTCAGGTACAATTTGCAGAAGAAGGATGGGTGTGTTTAAGCAACTAAGAGAGTCAATGTTCTTGAAAAAGAAAACTTCACTATTAGACTTTTTTCAGCCCCATGTTTCTAGAATGAAGGGAATTAATCTGCATATCAACAATTCTATGTTCCAGGAACAAATGATATAGAACAACCCAAACCAAGATGCCCTGGATACGTGATTGGACTTCCCAGAGAATCTGCCTAGGGTCAGATTTCTCCACCATAGCTTTTAATATCAGATGAAGAAGGAAGCAGTATTTACAGAGTTCTTGGAAGAACGTGTAACCCGAGAATATTTCTGTTCACTGAAGTAAATGGTCCCAAATTTGAAAGGCTCTAGAAACTCAAGTATAATTAGCATGTTACAATGCAAACAATAAATTAGCATGCTACAATGAAAGTAATAGAAAACGCCATGTCCAGTGGCTTAACCAAGAAGAGGACTCTGACCTCCCAGGCTCTGAGGACACTGGGAGGCTGCTTCAGCTGATGACCACAGCGGCTTAGTGGTGACACCTGGGGGATCAGGCAAGGCCTTGTCTGTTCACCTTTTTGGCTGTAGTAGTGATGGTGTTGAATGACTCTTTGTGCTCATAAAATACCTGTAGCAGCTCTAGGCTTTCTATTCTAACGTAGTAACATCTGGAGGTTGAAGGAGGATCGGCTTGGGCTCTCCTGCAGTAGGAGACAGAGAAGCAGATAAAAGAAGCCAGTCAGGACTTGGCCAGCAGAGAAGCAGTCCCTGCTGTTGTGTAGACAGCACACAATGGTGTGCCCAAAGCCTTGAACTCATCTTGAAAACAAATAACTTAACAGTGGAATCCTGTCAGTAACAAGATTCGTGTCTTTTTTTTGTTTGTTGTTTTGAAACTGGGTCCCCCTAGGTATTTTCCAGGTTGGATTTGAGCTTACTGTGTAGCTCAGACTGGCCTCAAACTCGTGGTGATCCTCCTGCTTCAGCTTCCTGAGTGCTGGGATTATAGGCATGCATCACCATGCCCAACTGTAAGATACATGTTGTGTTGGAGACACCAGCACAGTTTTCAAGATGGGAAGACAATGGAGCAAGGTCTGCCGGACTCGGACAGCAGGAGAACCAGCACAGCTCCTCCCATTGTGTCCAGTGAGCTCTGCTAGTTGCTTCACTTACTGGCCACTTATTCCATCCCAGGCGCTGCTTACGAGCTGGCATAAATTCATTCATCAATCTTTTCATTAATGTGATGAGGTGGGTAGTCTTTCCATCCTCATTTACACCTCGTGGGTGCTAAAACCACAGAGAGTAAGCAACATCTGTCCAAGGCCAGCCTCGAACTGATCATGGAGGTGAATTCAAACCCCCTGGGGTCTGGCTTCAAGGACTGTACCCCCTTAACTGTTATCTTTGTGTGGGTATCAGAGCCTACCTCCATTGTTTTAAAACCTGTGTTGATAGCAGTAGTTACCTTGACTGTTGAAAAACTAGTTTTCTGTGAGCTAAATGTTAACTAAAAATAGGAGTCCTCAAACCACTCACACCTCAGGAAAAACCCTTGCCACCTAGCTAAGTGGAAACAGTAGAAAAGAAACTTGATCCCCAGTGTTTAATAATGCATACAGCCTTCTGACTGTACTTCTGGCCTCTAGAGATGAGGCTTCCGGTCTCTGAATATGTAGGAAGTTACTTGGGCACACATTTGCTGATGCCTGGCCTGTGCAGTGCCCAAGAGGCCGCCGTGTGCAGTAGAGCCGGCTCGCTGGGACAGGAGCGAGTTCTGTCATCAAGGCACACATCGCCACAGCTACGCATGAGCAGCCTTCTGAGCCTTTACATTCATGCCCCCTCCCCCGTTGTCTTCGTGGATTGCAGGCTACACTGTCTTTTGTCACACATTCCTTCTTGTTCTCAACAACTCCGTGCGCTAAGGACAGTGTTCTGTGCACGGCTCACCCGCAGCTGGGTTATGTCACAGCGCTGTCCTTGTCTGTGAGAGGGAAGCGCAGGCTCTGCAAGTGAGACTGCTCCGGCGAGCGGTCGAGAACCCAAGAGGGTGACACCTACCCGGACGTCATCCTAACAATCTGGACTATTTCCAAGGGTCACACGAAGACAGTTGTTGTGAGTGAGTTGTCACACACTCCAGACCCGCAGGTCTCTACAGCGATTGTTTCCATCCCATCATGATGGTCTGGCCAGAGCGGGGCACATGGTTCCCTACCACATCTGAGCCTCTGAAGGGGGGAGCCAGAGCTCAAGCACCCAGAGGCAGCAGCTGTCGGTCTAGATTCAGCCTGAGACGAGGCGGGCTGCAAGGATGAGCAGGGCCGTTTCCTGCCACAAGGTGGCGGGCGCTCCCCTACCCAATCAAAAGGGGCCCCACTTCCGGGGCATCCCCTGCACCTCTGCACCTCCTGCAAGGACCAGCCTCCTCCCTCTCCTCTGCAACTCCTATTTCCCCAGTAACAGAAAGAGTAGAACAGCAAAACAGGAAGACACCAGGGGAGGGCCCAGCGGCAAATGCCAGAACACCGTCATAGCCGAGCCATGGGGAGGACACTGCCTGCAACCTTGAGGCAGGGAGGAGATTCTCCAAGGACACAGAGTGGCTCCCTTCTCCAGGGAGACCTGTGCTCTGCTCCGTCCTGCTGGACCCTGTTTCCGAGTCCGTCCTGTGAGTCCCAGTGGTGTCAGTCATGTTGCTTGCTTTCTACATGGAAATATGAACTTTGGTTTTGTTTAGCAACCATGCTCTGTGCTTTGCTAGGCATCAGAGACTCCAGTCATTCTGATTCCCCTTTCAGTTAATTTCCTCTTCGTGGCTCAGTATCTCTTCCTCAGTACTGCGTTTTGTCATCAATAATTGGCTTTATTTCACAGAAAATGTAAATGTCTTTTTGTACAGCCTCATAATGAGACTGCCAGGCGTGATTCAACTTCCTGTCCTTCGGGTGTGTATGAAGTCTATTGCACAGATATTTGCTATACAGAGCACACAGCACACTGTGATAGAAGACGACTAGAAGAACTGAGCCTTCAAGAGGGCAGCAGATGTGCTGAAGGGAAAGGTGATTAGATGCCACAGTGAGGCGTCCTCTGGGAGCTTAGAAGAGAGGGGTCACTTGGCACTTGGGGAAGAAGCCGGTGTAATGCCGCAGGTGGAACTGGAGCTGGCTGGGTAAAGGATGGGTGGGACATCGACCTGAGGAGGCAGGCGAACCTTCCGGTGTAGGAGACAATGTGAGCGAAGGTGTAGATGCAGGAGAAGTAGCGACTATCACATTCCACAGTCAGCAATTCTGTGTGACCTCGGCATCGCTTGTCAGGAAGGACTGCAGCCACAGGTGTGTGCACCCAATGGCAGGCAGAGAATTGTGGAGGCTCAGGAGTGGGAGGATTGGCGTGATCATGAGGCAGGGGGCTGTTTAGCAGACGAGAGGTGCAGGCGGGTGGATAAACAACCCGTGACCCTGCCGTCCCATGGGCCGGCACTGACGTGGAAAGCAGTGAAGTTCTGACACAGGATACAACGTGGTGGAGCTCGGCGACGTCGCGCCAGTTGAAATAAGCCAGACACACAAGGACACACACTGCATGATTCCACCGAGGATGAAATTTCCAGAATAGGCAGATCCATAGAGGAGAAAACAGATGAGAGACCGTCATGGCTGGGGGAAGGAGCGAGCGAGGAGATATTGCTAAGCAGGCACTGTTTCTGTTCCAGGCGATGAAATATTTTGGAAATAGATTGAGGATGGGTGCACATGATTGCTAATGTCAAGGAATTATACACTTCATATGGTTAAAATGGCAAATCATGTGTGCATTATATACACACACATATGTGTATACAAATGCACACACAAAGGTGTGACAGAAGCTAGGGTGAATGAAGCAGTTCTGGAAACCTGCTTCTGCGCCGACAATTGCACTACTGCAGCAGCCTCGATGCCCCGAACTGATTTCAAAGGTAGAGCTCTGTGGTCGTTTTGATTTGGGGGAAGAGCCGGAAGTCACACAGAGCTGGGTCTGGTGAGTAAGACAGAGAAGGACACACTGTAAAGTGTTTACGGCCTGCCTTTCTGCTGGCTGGCACTTAGCCTCAGCATTCACCAGATGTTGTTAAGTCACAGGTCATCAAGACACGCAGGGAAAGCACTCCCAGAACTGCTCCAGAAAGTGGCAAGAATGACGGGATGAGTGTATTCAAAGTGAGGGGGAGATCTTTGAGAGGGGCTCAAGGCATTGGTATCATGCTGTAATACAGTTTAAAAAATTTAAATATTCTCCATATGTATGGATCAATACATATATAATATATATAAGGAGAGAGAGGGAGAGAGAGAGAACAAGAGTAAGAGGGGGAGGACGGATGGAGTCAGGTCCTGGATTTTTGAACAACACACGAAGGGTGGATGAGGAAGCATCAGGTATTGAGAAAGTCAAACTCATCTGCGGCGACACAGTACAGACGGGGCAGCATGCAGCAGATGCTAAATTTCGTGCCAGGCAGTGAAGGAGGCGGGTGTGATGGGGCCTGAGCCAGACCTGGAGCCAGAGACCTGGCTGCCTATGGCTGCAGGAACTGCAGTGAGGACAGAGAGATGCTCTGGGAACTGGAGGAGAAGGGAAGGCAGGGCAGGCTTGGGAGGGGCTGGGACATGCGAGCGTGCTCGCTGCGAGCTGACGTCAGCATCCATGCAGAGATGGGATTTGAGGCTCTTGGTTTATAGACAGTGTGTGATCCGCAGGCCCTGTCTTTGCATGTGTGATTTGTGTTGATGTCGCAGCTCCCTCACTGCCCGTCTTTCGTTTCCTGAATGCCTGTGTTCTCCAGCATGGCACGCAGAGTCCTTCCGGCAGGTCCTGATGACCTGGTGAGGGCACCTTGCGTAAACCTCAGCGGGTTTTCTGTAACACCCAAACGCAAGCCAGGGAGTCAGCACGTCTCCTCATCGACAAGTGGGAGTTGCCCCGTAGCCCCTGTTTCCTTCTTCCTTTGTGTAATTGTAGATTTCTTAAACCCCTGCATGTATGGATCCCGCTTGTTAGTCTGCAGAGGAAGGGACACTGCTCACTCTCCTGTAATACTTTAACTGCTCCCCTGGCATCTGAAAATAGGTTACACAGTCATCAGGCGAATTATGAGCCAGGTTCCCTTGAAAATAAGAGCTGGCTCTTTAATTACGATGATGAGTGAATCTGTGGTCAGTGGGAACAACTAGTCACTATTCATCCTCTTTCCCTTCTTGCTGCCTTCCATCTCCCTCTACACCCTCCCTCTCCATCTCCCTCCCTCTCTCCCTCTCCCTCTCTCTCTCTCTCTTTTGCTCTCACTCTCGCTCTCTCTCTGCTAGGGATTGAATCTGGGGCCTTTGCATTGAGCTACATCCCTAGCCATTCTTTTATTATTTTGAGACAGATTCTTACTAAGTTGCCCAGGGTGGGCTCGAACCTGTGATCCTCTAGCTTCAACCTCTCGATCCCAGAGTGCTGAGATTACAGGCATGCATCACCACATCAGGACTTTTCTGTCTCCTTGAATCAACTTCAGCAATGTCTACACAGTGAGAAGACCCCACTTCCATCACGCCGCTCAAAGCAAGTGACACCGTGTCCTGAATGGTTTTTAAATTGTCACGTGCTGGAAAAAGTAGAGAGCGTAGCTACTAGTGCCACGGCGACCATCTGACTGCCATGATTTATGTCCAGGAGGTTCGGCTCGTGTAGCACTTGTGTGAAAACTCAGTGCCTGGACGTGGCTGGCAGTGCTGCCCACGGAGGAGTGCAGCCTTCCCAGGGTGAGTTCCTGAGCCCACCACAAGTCTGGAGTGCCGGAGTAGACAGCAGCGACTACCCGGGCCCTGCCTTCATTGATGGGCACTTCAAGGTGCAGAGAGGAAGGGGAGCTTCCGGTGGGCTTTGATTCCACGGCAGCACGCCGCTCAGGTGGGCCTGCGGCAGGAGAAGCAGCCCTGAAGGATGAAAGTGGAAAGGTGGGGAAGTTCACTGTGAATTGGAAACCCTTCTGCTTTAAACCAGATGGAAGAAACACTTTCTGTGCTTCTAAGTCACTCCACATAAGAGGAGTATTTTGCCAGCTATTAAACTGTCTGCTGTGACATGCCTCTTTTTATGTCTGATGTTACATCTGTATGAAAAGAAGTCGATGGCACGCTAACCTTGTTACATACGCATATGCAAGTGGAATGGAGTCGAGCATGAGCTTGTTAATCCAGCGTCGTGGAGGTAAACTCTGGTGGGACCTTGGCGGAGACCCCAAGACCTAACGGTCATGGTTTTGACTCTTCCTAAGCAACCCCAAGTTCAGGAGCATGCTATCACTTGCGGTAGGCACAGTTCTAACTTCAGAAGACTGTTCTATGAACGGACCACAAATCCCGGCCAACCCGCCGTTGTGTGGTAGATAGTCAGTCCCATAAGCCAGAGGTCCCCAGACTTTTTGGTGCCAGGGACCAGTTTCACAGAAGAAAATTTTTCCACGAATGGAGAGTGGAGGGGTACTCAGGATAATTCAAGGGAGCTGGCAACCTGGAGCCCTCACATGTGCAGTTCACATTAGGGTTCATGCTCCTCTGGGAATCTAACGTCCCCCTGACCCACCAGGAGGTGGAGCTCAGGCATTGATGTGAGTGATGCGGAGCGGCTGGGAATACAGATGAAGCTTTGTGGGCCCATCCACCACCCACCTCCTGCTGTGTGGTCTCCTTCCAGGCCAGTATGTGTCCATGGCCCAGGAACTTGGGGACCCTGCCTTAAGTTACACAGGGATCCCCTCAAAATCCACATCACAATGCACAGTATTCCTAACTTTAGGGTTGGCATAAACCTTGGGATTCATCCCAGATTGTCCCTTCCTGGGTTGGAACAGGTATTGTTGAGAATAGTCATTTTGAAACCCACACAGCTGAACCGACGTTCCCGGACAGCAGGCAGCTTCGCCTGTGAACCTCGGCTTCGCCCAGCTGTTCCGGATAACATCCCTGAAGCATGCCTTGGACTAGAAATGAGTCTGGTCTGGTAGATTTGGTTGAGAATTTGCTAGTAAACTCATTTAAAAGGGATATGAGCAATCTGAACGCTACGCTCTGCATGGTGTTCCAAGAAGAATAGATCTTGCAAACACCAAAGTCGTTTTACGTCAGTAAGCATCACTTCCGGGGGAAATGAGTATGACTGTGTGTGTGTGTGTGATTCTTATATGCTGCCTCTATTCTCTATAAATAAAACTGCCCAGTGTGAGAAAAAAAATGAACAGGAACTAGACAGAGACAGGATGTTTTCTTTATTATTATTATCCTGTTTTTTTTCACAAACATGGAGGCAGCTTTTGTAACCCAGATGTGAAGGAGGTTATTTCTCATTGTTTTAACACCTGCTGTCTTTCAAAAGGAGCACAACTTCCACAAGCCATTGATAAATTCAGTCTCAAACCTATCTAAAAAATAATGGTCTTGTGTATTTTGATACTTCCGAGTAAATAACATGTGTGTGTCCCTTTCTGTTTTGTGCTGTGCTTGTCCCTCACGTGCTCTTGTTTGTTGTTTCATTTTCACAGTGCTTATACTAAAACAATAGCTTGTGGTTACCTGGGGTAGAAAGCTAATTACAAATAACAGCTGCAGTGTTCATAAAGCACAAGTGTACATTGAGTCTTTTATGAGGCTTCTTTAGGGACCCGGATTGGCGCTTAGCAGTTTTACGTTCTCTGCTCTTTGACTCATTTGCAACATGCAATCTAAGAGCAGAGAAAACACCTGCATTATCTATTTCTCCTCAGACAATGCCACTAGCTGTATAATTATAGAAACTTAAAATTTCTGCTTATAGTAGAAACATAAGCTCGGTTTTAAGAAAACCAGACGGGAGGCTGGGAACAGTTTGCATACACTTTTACCCCATCTTCCAGGCTTCTGTGTCTGTCCTCTGCTCACTCTTTCTACCCATAAATGTGGCCCTGCCTTAGATGTGACCTTGCCCTACACCAGAGTGAGGAGGGTGGTAGCCCTCACGGCCCTTAGATTGCTGCCCAGCTTCAAGTGCCACACTCATGGGAATATCTTAGTGGCTTAGGTAATCCGCATGGTCTGTCCATCTGTGGAGGGTTTTAGTGTTGAAGCCTTCCTGGGCAGGTGGCCATCAAGTGTTCTCAGGGAGTCTCTGCGTAGCTCTTCTGTGTAGGGTCTACTAATAATTTCAGACGTCTCGGTTGCTCTACCGTGAAATACACAAAGATACGTTTGGTAGCTTGTCCTTATTATACACTGCTAAATTGCTGTGTGGGGAGATGGAGGATTTTTCACATCTAGGTTCCTGAAGGGTAGTCAGTCTATAGTTTTCTTTCAGCATCTATGTCAGGCATTGTTACCAGGGCCATATTGGTGTAGTAGTCAGTGGCCTTGTTGCTGAGATACAGCACTGGACACTCCGTAGCTTGAAGAAGATGTTGAACTGTGGCTCACACTTTTCAGAGGGTTCAGAGCGTGATCACTGTCTCTAAGGCAGAAACATCATGGTGGAAAGGCCTGATGGAGCAAAGCTGCTCCCCAGATGGCCCCCAGGAAGCAAAGAGAGAAAGGAGGAGCCAGGGACAAGAATGTGCCCTTCCAGGTCACGCCCCCAGTGACCCACTTCCAACCCGGCCCCACCACCTACCGCACGTTCAGCAGTGAGCTCATCGGTGGATGAAAGCACTGATGAACGTAGTGTCCCCGTGACCCAGTCACCTTCCACATACAACACATCTAGGGGGGCTTTGCAGACCTAGACCATAGCAGTTGGTCTCATGAGGTAGGTTGGGAAACGTTCCTTTTTTTCTGTATTCTCTAAGAGTTTGTGTAAGGTTGGTATTGTTTCTTTTAAAATATTAGGTAGAAACCATCTGGGCCTGAAATTTTCTTTGTGGGGAAGAGTTTTCAATTAAGAGAACTCAAGTATTTTATAATTTAGCACCTTTTGAATTTCCCATTTCTTCTTAGTTTTTTTTTTGGTGGTTTTTTTTTTTTTTGGTTTTTCTCCGGTACTGGGAACCGAACTCATGACCTTGCTCTTGCCAGGCAGGCGCTTTGCCGCTGAGCTAAATCCCCAGCCCCCTCTTCTTAGTTTTTTAAGTTGTATATTTCATCAGATAATCTGACCATTTCCTATAAGGCATGGAATTTATTCCGTGCATAGGTGTGGCATAAGTGTTCACAGTATGCCATATTATCTTTGTAACATCTGTAGAATCTGTGGTGACAGCCCCTTTGTCATTCCTGGTAGCTGTCGTTTATGCTCTTTCCTTTTATTAAACTTTATGGGGATTTACAGTTTGTATTAATAGTTCCAAAGAGGCCGCTCTTGGTTTGATTAATTTTCTTGTCCCTTGCTGCATAACATAGTTTCCCACTGCTCAGTGGCTTAACCCAACACACACTTACCCCTGATTCTGTGGTTGGGAGTGTGTGTGTCACTCTGTGGGTGCCCAGCTTAGGGGTCCCACAGGCTGTAGTCAGAGGGCAGCTGGTGCCATGGCCCATCTGAAGCCTGGACCGAGGGTGCCACTTCCCAGCTGACTCAGGCTGCTCATGGCAGTTTTATGCTCCTGTGAGCTGGTGGCCTGGGACTTGCACTCTTTGTAGGTGCTGGCCACAGCCTTCCCTGCGCTCCTTCCTACCAGGTAGCTTGAAGCGAAGCAGCTGACTCCATCAGACTGGGTGAGCAAGAGAGAGTGAGGGGGAGGAACGGAGGAAGCAGAGACTGCATCCCAGTGTGGGAGGTGTGTTGGAAAATGACGGTGAGGGTTTAGACTTTTAAAACGTCTTTACAGTACAAGACACACTGTCATCAGTCCCCCTCAAAATATCCTAGCTCACTCTGAACGCACTTATCCACTAACTTTGCCACTTTCAGAAGCAGTTCTGGAAATCCTCTTTTGTGAGTGTCTTCAGTTTCGCTGTCCTGGCTGCCTCGATGTCCTGAAGTGATTCAAGCTGTTGATCTTCCATGGTCATTTTGACTTTGAGGAGGAGACAGAAGTTGGAAGGCGCTGGATGCAGTGAATGCGGTGGATGAGGACACAGTTTCAGGTTTTTATGAGCCTGCCTTTCTTCCATATCACCTTGTCAGCAGCATTCACTGTATTTTTGATCTCGCCTTATAAAGACACAAAAGAGGACTTCCAGAACTGCCATGGAAAGTGTCAGGAACAGTGGGGGAATTGAGTTTTGAGGAGGATGAATGGCAATGTATCTTTCACTGTAATATTTTTTAAAATTTAAAATTTAAACCATGTATTTTGACCACTCCCTGACTCTCCTTTCAGGCTTGCTTTCCTCTTCTCTTGGATTCTGCACTGCTTATCGTCTGACTATGCTTGAAGAACAGGCAATTCCCAAATGTGACTGAGCTCCACAATGTTTATGGTGGGAGGGCTGGCCCAATACCAGCTAATCCATCAGGACTGGACAGAATTGTTATTAATAATATTATTATTATTGTAGGCAATAGCCTTTACCTCTTAAGGCTCCATATCACTGATAGATTGCTTTTTTGCCCAAAAGTCTTTCTTTACATTTTCTGCCTCAGAACTGTTTTCTTAACATCTATCTTTTTATGCCTTATGCAACGTCTAGACTTAATGTTGCAGGCAATGTTGCAGCAGACATTAATAATCTACGCGGCTCCTCCATCTATCCCTGTGATGATTTTCCTGTGACTGTAACTGATGGAGTTTTAAAGTCATTCCATAGAAGCAATGGGTCACAAGATGTTGTGAAGTCAGCATTTAATGATATGCACTAAAAACTATGATGCATTGAGCTCTTAAATGTTTCATGCTCTGTTACTGCTCCTCCATAAGAATACTCCTTCCGGTGTTGGACGTTACTTGAAGGTATGTCCATCCCTGGTTTCCTTCCTTGGGAAGACCTGGCACTGGCGTGTCTGAACTCTGACTTCTGGCTATGCACCGTGGTGACTTCCTGGGTCTGGGACCATCACTGATAGTCTTTGAAGGCCCTAGGGCTAGGAGTGGTGGAATATTATGTAATCCCAGCACTCTGGACGCTGAAGCAGGAGGATTTCCAGGAGTTTGAGGCCAGCCTGAACTATGTACTGAGTTCAAGGCCAGCTTGTGCTACATAGGGGGACCCTGAAGGTCCTCCATGGACAAGAGAATGTGACAGTGTCAGGACAAGCTCAGGAACATGAGTGAGCTGGAGATCAGTCAGGTTGAGATTATCTTGATTTCTTCTTCTTTCAAGGCTTCTTATGAGAGAAGCTGAGTTGGACCCCCGAGGGTCCTGGCGTTTGCTGTCTAGTGCTTGGGAGGCTCTGTCGCAATCAAGGCAGGGAATAGATATGGCGTTGAGGCACAGGCAACTGGAGACAGTAAGTGGCCAGACGTGAAGAACAAGCCAAAGAGAAGAAAGGAGAAGTAGCAAAACAAGCATACAAGACGTGCTCAGTTTTAATTTTCTGTTGTTGTGTGGCTGATTTCTGACAGTATCCATGATCGCTCGCAGCCTCTGATGGTCAGAAGTCCAGATCCTGCAGGCCAGAGCTGAGGGCTGGCTGGCAGTTCCTCCAGGAACTCTGGGATTGTCCCACCCTGTCTCCTCCAGGGTTGACAGAATCCAGTTCCCTGCTGTGTGGTCTCCTTGACTCTGCCCATGGCTGCCTTATGTGTCCTCTCTTCACAGCAGCTCGCTCCTCCAAAGCCACTCTCCAGGCAGCTACAATGGGTCTTCTCCCAGAGTGACTGTCCCATCCTAGTCACGAGCTGTCCATGCTCAAGGAGACGGAGTAGCATAGGTGGTCTGTCCTGGGGCTCTTAGAATTCTGCCTGCCGCATGCCGTAAAACTCTGTGGCTCCCGATGGACTCCTTGGCTACTGAAAAAATAACTAACAGACATTACTTGGGACCTAGGTCTCTTAGGGGTCACATGAGATCCTACAGGATACCTGGCTCCCACATGGGGCAGTGGCCAGGTCAGTGGGGTCGTGTGTGTGGAAGAGTCCTGGCAGAACGCGTGAGAATTAGAATATGTGATAAGCATGTGCCTAGTGTGCATGGGGCCGGAGCAGGGACCTGGGTGTGCAGGCACGTGCAGGCATGCACGCATGTGCAGCTAACTGTCCCACATCCTGCACTTCCCTCTGTGTGCTTCTACCTTCCCCACCCAGAAACCGGCCCACACCTTTCCAACCGCTCTGGAACAGTTGTTGCTCTTAGGTGCTTAACACGGCCTCGCTGCCCCAGCCCTACCTCTTATAATTTCTTTTGTACTTAATCCCGATTCCTCACCAATTTGCGGCGTTTCTGGCTGTAGAGTTTGCACCGGAATCCTCTATGGTGCATTCACTTTTGGACAATCCAAGGAAACGACTGCTCTGTCGGGCGGCATTTTACCAGGCTGAGCGTGACAATCCTGTGTGGGGAGACTGCCGTCATGAGCAGATTCCACTGGACTAAAAAAAAAAAAGACACTGACACACATTACTTTCACATCCCACAGGAGTGACCGGTGGCCCCGGGGAACCCGCACGAGCTCGTGGTGGGGCCTCCACTGCGGAGGCAAACCTGGCGTGGGGTGCTGCAGTCTTTGACCAGATCAAGTGGGCAAAAGCCCCGTCCGCCACATGCCAATGGGTCTGAGCTGGGCTCACTGAGAACTGGCAAGCTGCTTGTGGCATAACATGAATACCAACAGTGGGGCGGCATCAATCTTCGTGTGAAGGAATTATTAGTGGCACCTTGACCTAGGACACACTTGTAACAAGTTAAGAGGCGTTATTGATGGCGCTCCTCTTGCTCCCGGCTCCGGGTGGGATGCCTTTTCCCGAAATGTAAACACGCCAGGCCTGCTTTCCATAACCGTTGTCAACCACACCCCCGCTCAGACTAAAAGCTCCCCTTGCTTTGGAGGAGTTTTTTGACACTGCACTGAAGACCAGACTCGCACCACGCATTCCACTAATGCAGAGTACTTGGAGTCCTGAGCTGTTTATCAGACCAGGGCTGTTTCTTATCTTCACGATGAAAGATGAGCCAGAACACACAGCAGCGTTACCACAGGCGCTCCTTCCCGGAACTCCAGCCGTCTTCCTCCAGAATGAAATTTGCCTTCCATTTCGTCTTTGTCAAGCTGAGTGCTTGCACTTGGCGACACAGAGGGGGCAAGAGTCTCGAGCTCTCTCTGTCTTGCAGCTGGGGACAGCGCCCTGTCTCCCCACCACCCTCGCCCCTCAAGCATCTTGCTCTTTCTGGCAGTTCCCACATCCCGAATCCCACCTTTGCCCTGGGCCTCTCCCACCATCTTGCCCATGGCCAGCTCCCCTTCATCTAAACTCCACAGTAGTTTGTTTATTCATTTGTCATTTTAGGTTGTAGATATCAGAAGAAGCTAATCGAAAATGCCTTAGCCGGAAGAACTGTTTCCAGGCTGGAAGCCCTGAGAGGCGGGGTTGATCCTGCCCCTTGCTGAGCTGCGCCCGGGGCCCTGTCCTTTCCACATTCTCTGGATCTCATTCTGTGTCCTG